AAGTCTACTGAAGATGTTTTTCAATATGTCTTGGCCAGAGACTTCAGCAACAGGGACATGCATGAAGGATACTGGTCCTGGATACACAAAATTCTTACAGCTATTCCTGAATTTTTTTTCTCTCTAACAAATGTCTGAAAGGAGGTAAGAACAGAACAATCTACTCTACTGCTATCACCCAATCAAGCCTTGAAATATTCAGTATGCCTTTATTTATTGATTTTAAAGTTCTACAGCCACACTCTAAGCATTAGTCACAGTGCATGCACAAGACAAAAACTTGGGAGTAATTATTATTTTGCAAACATTGAATGGAGGGTCCTTAAGGATAGCAGCACATTTTCATTCTCCAACAGTTTAAAAGTGTGAGCAAGAATATTTTGAAGGGGACAGAGTCAAGGGTTACAAGTTCTATTTTATATATTTTACCTGAATGCCCTTCCCTATCTTGATTTTTTTTTAAAAGTTATTGGGTGGGTGAAATGTAGAACTTCAATCTGCTAGGTAAGAGGCAGATGAACTTGCTGCTCAGCAACCATCCTCTGCCAATTCTGGCAATGTATTTATTAATTGATAGCAAGCTAGTAATTTTATAAGCTTATTTATAAAAGTTCCTAAACGAACTGCCTATTTTACTCCAATGTGCCTCAAATACTGGGAATTCAGCATAAATGCAGAGACATTCAGATGAATTATAAGACATAGTTTTACAAACTTTGGAGAGGTGGGAGAATGTTCCATTATTGCTGTTGATTAATACAGCTTTTCTCATCTGATGGTCCATCAGAATGGAACTGAAGCTGAAGTGAATACACTTTTTGTTTTCTTTCTCTATCAATCTCTTTCTCCTCATCCAGGTCAGAGACAAATTGCTTCTGTCTCTACTGCTGAGAATGGCATAGATGGAACTGCTTCAGCTGGAAAATGTTCTTCCTATAAATATCCTACAATTCCATCAGAATCACACAAATGTTGACTAAGTGACTTGAGCCAAAACTGGACCATGTGATCATTAAGTCACACAATTGGGTTGTAAGATCCTGCACAAGACTGCAGAGCAAAAGATGAGGTAAAACTTACAAAGCTACTAGAGTTAGGTAGACCTATGGAGTGATTCATTATAAAGCAGCAGCATCTGATTTTAATGGCATACATAAATCATAATTATTTCTAAAGATCTTAATGTTTCACTGCACTAGCTAACCCCAAAAATTTGAAGCATCGTGTAAAATGTAGATTTGCATTGAAAAATCAGGAATTGATTCAAAGATATCATTCATCTCTAGGAAAACTTGAGGATATTAAATTTACATTAACAGTAATTCTAAACACATTTTATATTTATGTCACTGAGCTGCGATTCCTCTGGGGGATCCACTCCCCAGAGATCCAAATGGATCCAACCCTGCTATTCCATTAAATGAGCCTTGAAAATCTGGTTCTCTGTTAGATCAGGTTATGGATCTACCTGGTATAGGTTATGGATGGATCCATAACCTGATGGATCCTGATAGGTTCCAAATGGAGCTTGAGCCATTTCCTGAGACTCTGGCTCACGACTCGATGGAAGACCTGGTGGCCGCCTGGGATAGGGCGGCCGCTGGTGCTTTAGATCGGGTCGTGCCTTTGCGGCTTCTGACCCAGTGCCGAACCTGCCCAGCTCCTTGGTTCTCCGAGGAGCTGAGGGAGATGAAGCGCCAGAAAAGACGCCTAGAGAGTAGTTGGAGGACTAGTCGTTCCGAATTCGACCGAACACTTGTGAGGTCTTATATCAAGACCTATTTAGTGGCGATAAAAGCGGCGAAGTGTAACTACTTTTCCGCTCTTATCGCATCGGCAGATAACCGCCCAGCTGCCCTGTTTAGGGTGACCCGCTCCCTTCTCCATCTGGGAGCGCGGGAAGACCCCTTGCAAGGGCAAGCTGAGGATTTTGCGTGTTATCTGCATAATAAAATTGCTCAAATTCAGGAAGGCCTGGACTCTGACTGGGTGGGTTCGGGCGGGATGTCTGAGGCAGGTCTTGAGAATGTTATCTGGGATGAGTTTGACCTTGTGACTCCCGAGGACATGGACAGGTTGCTGGGGAGGTTGAACGCAACCACATGTTTACTGGACCCGTGTCCCTCCTGGCTGGTGCTGGCTACCTGGGAGGTTACACGAGGCTGGCTCCAGAGGATTATTAATGCTTCTTTGAGTGAGGGTTTCCTATCCTCTGCCTTGAAAGAGGCAGTGGTGAGGCCCCTCCTCAGGAAGCCCTCTCTGGACCCAGCTGCTTTGGCAAACTACCGTCCAGTCTCCAACCTTCCCTTTGTGGCGAAGGTTGTTGAGAGTGTGGTTGCGCAACAGCTCCCGCAGTACCTGGATGAAACTGTCTATCTAGATCCATTCCAGTCCGGCTTCAGGCCTGGGTACAGCACGGAAACGGCATTGGTCGCATTGGCTGATGATCTCTGGAGGGTTCGGGACAGGGGGTGCTCCTCTGTCCTGGTCCTATTAGATCTCTAAGCGGCTTTTGATACCATCGACCATGGTATCATGCTGCGTCGGCTGGAGGGGTTGGGAGTGGGAGGCACCGTGTTACAGTGGTTCTCCTCCTATCTCTCCGACCGGTTGCAGTCCGTGTTGGCAGGGGGGCAGAGGTCAACCTCAAGGCACCTGGTTTGTGGGATGCTGCAAGGGTCGGTCCTCTCGCCTCTCCTGTTCAACATTTATGTGAAGCCGCTGGGTGAGATCATCCATGGTTTTGGGGTGCAGTGCCATCTGTACGCTGACGACACTCAGCTGTACATCTCCACTCCAGACCACCCCAGTGATGCCCTTGAAGTGATGTCCCGGTGCCTAGACGCCATGCGGGTCTGGATGGGGAGGAACAGGCTCCGACTCAACCCCTCCAAGACCGAGTGGCTGTGGTTGCCGGTGTCCCGATATAGCCAGCTGGTGCCATCGCTGGCTATTGGGGGCGAGTCATTGGCCTGCACAGAGAGGGCCTGTAACTTGGGCGTCCTCCTGGATGCACGGCTGTCTTTAGAAGAGCATATGATGGCCGTGGCCAGGGGGGCTTTTTATCAGATTCGCCTGATATCGTCAGTTGCACCCATTTCTGGATCGGGATGCCTTATGCACGGTCACTCATGCCCTCGTTACTTCCCACCTGGACTACTGTAATGCTCTCTACATGGGGCTCCCCTTGAGGAGCACCCAGAGGCTCCAACTGGTCCAGAATGCAGCCACACGGGTAATTATGGGGGCGACATGGCGCTCCCATGTAACACATCTCCTGCGCAAGCTGCACTGGCTTCCGGTGGTCTTCCGGGTGCACTTGAAGATTTTGATTCTCACCTTTAAAGCGCTCCATGGCTTAGGGCCTGGATATCTATGAGACCACCTTCTGCCACCGATAACCTCCCACCGGCCAATACACTCCCACAGAGAGGGTCTCTTCAGGGTGCCGTCGGTCAAGCAATGTCGACTGGCGACCCCCAGGGGGAGAGCCTTCTCTGTGGGGGCACCTGCCCCCTGGAATGAGCTACCCCCAGGGATACGATCCCGGACCTCCGTACTTTCCGCCGGGTTCTGAAGACTTTCTTGTTTCAGCGAGCCGGGCTGATTTAAAATTTTTATTGATTAATTTTTATGGGTAAGGGGTTTTAAAATTGGAAAGCCAAATTGGATTTAATTATTTTTAAATAATTTTAATTTTTATACTGCATGTATTTTAACCCTGGCTGTTCACCGCCCTGAGTCCTTTGGGAGAAGGGCGGTATAAAAATTTAATTAATTAATTAATTAATTAATTAATTAATTAATTAATAATATTTAGTATGTTTCTGGTAGGTTTGTTCTTCCTGGCAACAGCTATCTTTTATTTATTTATTTTATTAAACTATGTAGCAGGCTTTATTTATTTATTTATTTATTTATTTATTTTTAATCTACTTGCCAACTGGAGTAAATATGAGTTGGGCAACCTTATAAATTCAAAGTATAAATCTTTATAAACTTTGCTTCCAGTGCCAACAAATAGTGTGACAAACTAATGTGTCAACAAGATCAACAATGATACCGCAGTGCCGAGGAGCCTCGGTGGGCCTCGGATAGCTGGGCCGCCCGGCCCGGTGCAGAGAGCCGTCCGTCACGGGAGCGGAGCGCGGCCGGAAGGGGGCCGCCTCTCACCCGCGGCGAAGCGCACGTTCGCGGGGAACCCGGTGCTAAATCATTCGTAGACGACCTGATTCTGGGTCGGGGTTTCGTGCGTAGCAGAGCAGCTCCCTCACTGCGATCTACTGAAAGTCAGCCCTCGACACAAGCTTTTGTAAGATTAAAAAAAACAAAAAAACAAGATCAACAACAAAGCACTGCTATGGCAACGATCTCAGTTTATATTTCTAAGTATCACCTAACAAAACTGAATCTCATATTAACTTGGATGGTAAAGCATATCCAGATAGCTGGGTCTTGAGATCTCCAGCTTTGTCTTTTAAAGGTGATTCTCAAGCACATATTCAACTTTTGATCATTTATACCTCCAGATACACGAATGGGACATCACTCATGAACTGCCAAGGCCTGCACCTAATAAAAGGTATTTTAAGTGGCCTGCTATCCTTCTCCAAATGCACTGCAGACTTACACAGCATAATGAACATTTGTCACTTCTTTACTTATCAAACACAAACAAAATGCTGCTTGATTGAGAAAGTCAGAAGGGGTGTGCTCTTCAGAAGGGCTGAAGTGTAGGGCATAGAAGGCCAGATGTAGACAAGAAGAAAGGGAGAGAAAAGATAGATCTCTGGATTGCATGTAGACTGTATGTCCTCTCCCTTGTATATCACAGTTCCATGCAAAAACTGCTAAGGTAGACTGGCAAGCAACCCCTGGACTAAGCACCCTTTCAGCAGACAATATGTAAAGAGTAAGATCCCTCTCCAATGTGTCTTTTATGGAAAGCAAACAGAAAAAGGGAAGGAGAGGGAAAATCCAAAAAGAGAAGCTTCTCTTACCTCAAATGCTGTGCTTTGAACATCAAATTGTGAAAAGGCTATGCCAGATAAATCCGTGTTCCTTCTGAGCTTTGGAAGAGAAGGATATTTAATCACATTTAGGTACGATCTGTGACTCGTTGATCTGGCTCTTTGATGGATCGGTGCTCCAATGGATTCATTGCTGAGCTCTTCGTCTCCTGCAAGGGAAAGAGAGGAAAGGGGGAAGAAAAAGCCTGAGAGTTGGAGGATATATTCACTTCTTTCTTAGGTTTCCAATGGCAACAGGATATGCCACAAATGAATAGTGAGTGCATTTGAATGCATGTATGTGTGTGAGAGAGAAGCAGAGGGGGGGGGCGAGAGAATGAGAGAGGGGCACACAGCTGCTGAATCCACAGGCAGTGTAACCTAACAGGGTATCATGGAAAGAGACAAGGAATGCAATAAACAGAAAGACCTATGGAAGCCAAAGAGATGAAGCTTACAAAGAGTACACAGTACAGTACATTTTGAAAAATTGTACTGTACTGTACTTGCATTCCCTCTAAGTAGGAGGGCAGCTAGTTAATCTCTATTCTTTATTATTATATTCAGCCACGATGAATTATTCCCAGCCACTTCCACAGCTGTGGAAGCAGTGCTTAAAATCGTCCAGTTAGCTTCACATCAGATAGCAGGCCAATCTGCAAAGTGAGCCAAAATATCTATTTGGCAGATTTTATTTTGTTAAAATCAAGAACTACAGCATTGTATGGTTCTTTTCCGTCATTATTCCTGGTGCTTAACTGAGCCTTGACTGAGTCTTTCCTTTTGGTCAGTATCAAATCGAGGATAGTAGATCTTTCTGTGCTTTCCTTCATCCTCTGAAGGAAAAAGTTGTCAGCAAAAAAAAAAATCAAGAATTTCCTAGAAAGATCGTATTGTGAGAGTTTGTCTCCTAACATATGGTAGGTTAATTAAACCCTCCAACACCATTACTACACAATTCTTTGAAAGAGAAAAGGGTTGCTTTTGGAAAGATCATCCACATCTTCTCCTTAGCTGTGGAAGCAATCATAGACTGTTTTATTGGTTTTTCAACTTATTTTAACATAGATGGCTTCTATATAAATGTTGCCAAGCTCTTTCACTTGAAAGTCTATGCAGCTATAATTACTAACAGAAGGAAATATATGTAGATCATGGTTACATATATGCACTGATGATGATATCTAGTTGGGTAATGAAACATCTGCAAGTAAACCACCAAGCTCAGAGAAAACCAAAGAATCCAGAGGTATGTTTACTGCTAATGCAAAGTAAAACGCCACATCCCTTTCTATTGCATCTATTTCTTTTGAACAAATTACATTTTTCAATTGCTTTATCTGACTGACAGGGTTCATCCTATACTATTATATTAAAATCTCCATTATTGTAGGAAGATTTGTTTTATTTCCCACATTGTAAGTGTTATATGATAGATCACAAAAACTGTGAACTTTCTGAACTAGTGTTTTTCCTTTTTTATATTTATTAGGTTTATTATCTTTTCGTTCATGAGTTCAAGATGGCATATACAATACTCCCTTCTCCTATTTTCCTCTCCAAGACAAACATATAAGGTAGGTTGGGCTAAGAGAGAGAGTGAATTGTCCAAAGTTACCTCATGAGCTTTTATGACTTAGAATGGATCATTGTGCCAGGGTCTCCCAGAGTGTCTTCATTTTTTTATAGAGGAGATTAACATATCCTATTACATCAACCTACCTTCCTTCCTTCCTTCCTTCCTCCCTTCCCTTTCTTTCTCTTTCTTTCTCGTTTGTTCATTCACTCATACATCCATTCATTATTAGCAACTGCAACCAAACAACTCTTGACAGATTAATCATTCAATACATTAAAGTGTCGACAATATAATATTAATAATACAAAAATAAAAGTGTAAAACTAGACAACAAAATCCAGTAAAAATAATTGTTGCAAGGTCTTTATGTTCCAGTTAAGGCTACAACAGCTGCACTAGTTAAAGCTCGAGGAAACCTGTCCCCCAGTTATGAGTCCAGGAGGACCCCAAGTCAGGACCTTACTGTTTCTGGAACAATGTCTCACCTCATTTCCGCCCCCCATAAAAAAAACCCTACTGGAGATAAAAGCCGTGATGGACATACAATAACTCCTTTCTGTTTGGATTCATCTTTAGCTTGTTTACAATGCCCAAGCAATGAAATCTTATCTCAGAGTTTTCATTCTCAACCTCAAAGAGTCCATTTTAAAGTTCTCCTGATCAAATTCACTATGCTTCAGCCAGATATACTGTATGTTTGCCAATTCTGTTGAACATGAAATACATTATATGCCCAGTATTTATTCTGAAAATTAACAGAGTTCTCCATCTTAAATTCGTAACTCTGGATAGTAAACAGTCCAAACAAAAACAATGTAAAAGCTCATAACCAATTAAAATAATCTAATACAAGGGAAACAAATAGCCAAGATATTACCTACCAATTCCATAAAAATAAACACATATATATTGAGCCACCCTAACATTCTGATTCTCCCCTTAAGAACAGAACCAAGTTTTAACAGTCTTTCAGAAGGCCAAGAAAGTGGTGGGGCCCATCTGACTTTCAGGGGAGTGGACCTGTTCTGAAGTGCAAACACTGTAACAGAGGAGACACATCACAATTCTGCAAGATGGCACTGTTTGAAAAAAATGGACCCCGAAAGGGGACCTACCAAATTCAATGCAGAAACAATTCTATAAGTACCTGGGCCCCATGCGCTACAGACTTCCAATGCAGCTCATATAGCAAGGGTTTTGCATAGGTGAACATTACAACTAGGTAACTCTTTGATTTAAAAATTAGCTTTTATTTTAAGAAGATTTTACATAAATTTTAATAAATAAATAAAAGAAAAAGAAGGAAATGGAAATATAAGAGAGCAAAAAATGTGAAAGATAACAAAAAAGAAGAAAAAAAAGGATATCTAAAGAAGTGACTTCCACCCTTCTTTGCAGCAATTACAAGCATAGTAATTACTATCTCCACCCTGTCAAATTACATATTATGGTTCCCTTCTTCCTATAAACAGACCTTGTAAATCAATAAATTCCCAAATCTCCAGTTGATTTTTAATATTTTTCAATTAAAAATCCATACAGGGTCTTTTATAAAAGCAATTATAGTTCCTTTCTTAACCAAACAAGTCAATTTAACCATTTCTGCAAACTCAGCCATATTCATGATCCATTTCTCCATTATAGATCTTTCTGTTTTCCTCCATCTTGGCAACTCTGATCATCTAGGTAATTCAGACCATGGCCCCAAAAACCAAATCTGCACTATCTGCACAATTAATAACAAACTTGCAGCATTCTCTCCCTTTCCAATCCTCTTTCATGGATTGGAAGGATGCAGGAGAACATTAATGTTCTCACTAGTTTTTTTAATCTTCCCAGTGACATGGTCATATCTAGTCTTTGCAGTATCTCTGTCCCCAAATAGCATAACAGAAGGAACAATTGATCATCAGAATTGCTCTGTCATACCCCTGATCTGTGCCCCTGACATACAGCACACTTTATGAGCGACAGGTCCAGAAAGCAAATCTTTGTTTCAATGTCTCATAATAGTGTATCACAGATCCCACAATTTTTATCTTTGTCTTCTTGTAAGGCCCTCTGCCTTTTATATAGCAACCATCTATCTCCTGTTCCATTTATCTTTTTGTCCTCCTGAAGGGCTGTTTCATTAGCAAAGGTCAAAAAACTGTTTCTAAGTTCCAGCAGCCAGAATATCTTTCATAGTACTTGCTTCTGATTGTGGCTCTCATCTTCTCAGCTTGCTCCCTTGTTTAATTCTCTTCCTTAAGAGAACTACTTCTTGTCATTTCCTTTTATTGTGCCTCCTTCTCTTCATCTGATAAATATTCAACTTCTTTCACCTGAAGTGTGGTCATTTGCTACTCCAATCTTCTGAATTTTCCTTCAAGAGCCACTACTTGCTGAAAATATATGTCAAATTGCTCTCCGCCAGGAATATAAACATACCACATGAATTACAATTCACAGGTCTAGATGCTGCCTGTTCATCTTTACTTGTGTTTCTCAAGGTATCAACAAAGGGGATGCTATGTTGTGATAAAAGTTTATGAGAAGCACTCCTTCAAAGTTACTTTATACGTAGTCCTAATTCTGAAATGAAACAACCCTATTGTTTCAATCTGCATCACTTTAGAAGCTTGAATGAATGGAAGAGGCTTTCAGTTAACTACTCGAAATGCTAGTGGAAACTTCTGAGTGTAAGCTATTTGTGCAGAGAAGCTTCTTCTTCTCATCTTCAGGGCAGATGAAATACCATGTCAAGTCAACTTGTATTGCTTTTTCTCCTGGACAAAACATCTTACCTCTGCCCGCAAAATGCACTGGCTTGCTTTGGAGTAATAAGGTAAAGGTAAAGGTTCCCCTCGCACATATGTGCTACTTGTTCCCAACTCTAGGGGGTGGTGCTTATCTCCATTTCAAAGCTGAAGAGCCAGCGCTGTCCGAAGACATCTCCGTGGTCATGTGGCCAGCATGACTAAATGCCAAAGGTGCACCGAACGCTGTTACCTTCCCACCAAAGGTGGTCCCTATTTTCCTACTTGCATTTTTTATGTGCTTTCGAACTGCTAGGTTGGCAGAAGCTGGGACAAGTAACGGGAGCTCACCCCATTATTCGGCATTAGGGATTCGAACTGCTGAACTGCCGACCTTTCGATTGACAAGCTCAGCATCTTAGCCACTGAGCCACCACATCCCTTTGGAGTAATACTAGCTCTTTAATTAACTAATTCCCTTCTAAAGGCTTCTCAGAGCTTTACAATGTTTTGTAATCCTGAAAAAAAAAGGCTGAACAAATAAAATAGAACAACACATTGTACAAAGGAAATTGAGTGAAGCACAGAGCAACAATGCATAGAACCTACACATTAAAAATCAAAAGTTCTAAGTTCACCCAAGCATGATAACTATAAAAACAGAGCAAATCAGATCCTGGTGCTACCTGGTTTGTCCTTGCAACTGGGATTGCATTCCCAATTTGGCTCAAGATTTGCACGGTCTCAATAGTATGATAAAAGCCATGAGGCCAAAAATGCTGTTGGAAGGTAAGTAAAACTGGCGCCCTTCCTTTGTTCCCTAAAAGGAGACTGGCAGGCAGGCCTAGAAAGG